TTGAGGCAGTGGCCAGACACGCCTCTGCACAGACAAGCCCCCGGACCTGGAGAAGGATGAGGAAAGCTCTGACACAGCTGTGTCTAAGCGCCTCTCACCCAGCCAGGGAGGTAACTCAAATCACGTGTAAGGATGGCCTCCCACACTCAGGTCATACATTTAGGTATTGGATCCATTTTGAATTTATTTTTGCACAGGGTAAGCAATAGGGGTGAGGTTTCAATATTCTGAATAATGTATATTTAGTATTAGTATTCCTAGCACCATTTATTGAAGATGCTATCCTTTCTCCAATGTGTTTTTGACAACTTTTTTTATAATTGGTTGACTACAGATGCACAGATTTCTGGATAGAAGACTTAGTGAGGTAAAAGAAACCTAATCTGTTCCATTGATCTATGTGTCTGTTTTTATCCTGATACCAGGTTTTGTGTTTTGGTTACTAGGACTCAGTAATATGTCTTAAAATCATGTTTCGTGAGGTCTTCAGCTTTGTTCCTTTTGCTCAAGATTGCTTTGGCTATGTGATTTTTTGTGTGTGTGTGCTTCCATATGAATTTTAAAATTACTTCTCTATTTCTGTAAAGGTTGTCATTGATATTTTAATGGGGATTGCATTTAATCTATAAATCGCTTTCAGTAGTACACACATTTGGACCATATTAAGTCTTCTAATCCATAAGCTTTTAAAAATACCAAGAACTCAGGAGAGAGGCAAGACTACTTAAAACAAGCCATTCTTAGCAAAAGTATTAATCTTTAGAACCACGAGGTGCCTGGTTGATTTTTCTCTTGTAAGCCTGAAGTACAAACTATCTTAAAAGTCTAATTCAAAACTTACCTTCTCCAGAAATCCTTATCTAGTGTTAGTTTCACATCAAGTTTTTCTTCTGTAATGTCCTGGATTAATTTCTAATAGGTCCTTATCTTAAACTCTCATATAGACATTTACAAATTGCCTTGGATTGATTTTGCACTGAGTTAGACAAGTGTAGTATGTTTAAAAGTGTTGCTTTCCCCTCTACTTTATACTAGATTAGATAAGCAGTCATAATGGAATACAAAAAATTGAAACCTCAAAAAGATAGCACTACATGCAAACCAGATATTAAAAATTTCAAACACTGACACCTTGAGCTAACATGTAGTGGTCTTCTTTATCTATAGTATTTATGTTTTCTGTATAATACTAATGTAAATATTGGTGTATTCTATGAGTCTCCAGGAATTTGTTTTCCATCTCTTTTCATTAAAATTGCTTTTATTCTTAAGTTGTAAGCCTATGGCCTGAAAAACAAATATCTTCTATTTTATAATTTCATTCAACTTGAGTCTCAGACTGAAAAACAGAGGTTTCAGTTTATTTATATTTCTGATTATAATGTTTTGACTATTTCAGGGCAATGTTTAGATTTTATGAAACATTTGTTTATTAGCTTATCACTTTTCCTACAATTAGATATTATCACAGCTTGAATTCTTATGAAGTAATTATATTTGACATAAATAATCTCAAAATTTTGTAAATAAGACATTCATATAATATGTTTTAGAAAGCTTTGAGTCTCCAGGAAATTTTTTATTTTTCTCCCACACTTTGGTGATTACTTGGCTTTGCTAAAAAATATAGGTTCTTGGTACAAAATGCTTCTTCCTCAAAGTTTTATATCTTCTCTTTTACAGTCATCCAGCCTCTTTTGTTTCGGATGAAAAGAGTCATTTCCTAATTAGAAAAAATCTGTTAAAAAAAAAAGAAATAGATGTTATTGCATCCATATTGATTCAAACCTAATTAAATTTACATTATGGGAGGGAGTTACATCAGAGATCCATGATGCTGGAGCTCACTGGCATCCATAGAACATATGACAAAGATGAAAAGCAAAATCTACAGATCACAGTTAGAGGAAGGAAAAAAAACTTTGTATGTTTTGTACAGTTAAATTCTGTAGCAAAACCAGTATCAATCTTTTTTTTTATAAATCATCTATGTCAAAGAATTTTGAGAGGATGTAACCTCTCAAACCTCTCATGCAAGCTGCTAATTTGAGAGCTGCTATTATAAAATTTAAGTTAGAAAAGGGAGTAGAGTCCCTTCAAGACAGATAGGATTTTTGTTTTTTTATTAACTTGTATTAATTACACATACTAATTAATTCAATGAGGATATTTGGAATGTCAAGAAAGAAGTTAGAGGTACTAGTTTGGAAGTAGAATGTGAACTCGGATATCACAGCTATGCTTCATTCCTTTGGCAATTGCAGTTCAGGTAAAGAAAACCAGAACCTCTTCAATTGCTGGACTTAAAAACAAACCAGAGATAAGACATATGCTCCAGAATGGAGCCCTTTCAGAAAGGGACACCTGTTTCCACAGGCTTAGAGCACTGGTGGGGATTTTGGACACTTCCAAGTTGAGATGAATTTAGAATGAACCTTATTTTCTTTGAGGAAGAAAGAAAAACCCTTGAACCATGGCAAGAAAAGGGAATAAACCAAGCCTGTACTAACACAAGCCCTGCTTTTCTCTGCATTTTAGATTGTAATTTTTGCTCTTATTTATTTGCATGAAATTCTTTCATAAAAATTGCTAAAGATCTGGATGGTATGGCATCCCTCCCAGTACACATGCCTTCTATGTGAATTGCCATCCCTGGAAAGAAGCAGAGCTTGAATATAAATCTCTTTGGGGCAAATACTGTTTTATCCTTTTGCTTTCTGATTTCTGAGCCTATTTGGACTAGACTTTTTAGTAAACTCAACAGGCTCAAGCCTTCAATGGGCTTATAGATCTATGTTATTTGGTGCCATCTTAATTTATGGTCTCAGACCTAACTCAGATTTAAGTAGTAGTGTGCCTAATCTCTACTTAACTGACCCCTAACTTTGTTTTGAGGAAAGTT